CATATGGATGTCGTGCAAGGATGACAATCGCAGCGAAGGATTGAAACCTTTTAAAAATTAAATTATTGTTACGTTCTTAATTCGATTAAACTGTGTGTAAAATAATCACTGAAATTATTAAATTATTTTCCACTAATAGTCAGATCAGAAAATACATTATATATACATATTTTAAATTTCTACGATCTCTAAGTTAATCAATAATTAATATTTAACTTTATTATTATGCTTTAAAAAAATATCATTCGACACTTTTCTAGCTTTGTCAGATTCACAGTCATCATCTTACGTATATTCGTATACGTATTATTTTGTTTATTTTATTATTACTGGGATTTTTAAAAACAGATAATATTTATATACTCACTAATTGATATTAGTCAGAAATGTTTTGGACCAATGCACGTTGTGATCAAATACTGGGATTTTCTGAAAGAGTTTTTTACTTGGAATAAATGTGGTTTAATTTAAGTCATAGTTTATAATAACTTGTTTAAATAAACTGATCAATTTATTATTCTAATTTAAATTTATTAAATTTTGAATGACTATTAAATAATATTATAGTATTATAAACTAAGTTTTATTATTTTTTTTCAATACTTTAACCAATCAATTCTAATCAAAACGTTTTAGGAAAAAAACATTTATTCGGATGATTTGGATTGATAGGTAATTTAAGAGTTTATTTTTATTGGGATTTTTGCATGTCACGACAAAATACTCAAATATATCTCATTCAATTGCCACAAAAATAAATTTTGAAAAAAAAGATCTTTTGATGATATGAATTCATTGAATACATGAATACTTGAATGTATTTTACCATAGAGTAGTAGAAGTTTTAATTCTAACCGGTAATATTAAATAAATGTAAATTAATTTTATGTTACAATAACATTTTTACTTCAATCCAAGATTTAGAACTTTATAATGTTGGTCATTGTAGTCGCCAATTAAGTAATAACAATTCTTGTAGTTCAAGGTAAATTATTACAAAACAGACATACCTGTAGAAAGTTGAACATCAATCAACGACCGGTTATTGCACCAGAAACATGCTTATCATTATAATTTAAAATCTTTATATATATTTAAAGAAATCAAAATATGAATTACCAAAAGTAAAAGACTGAGGGTTCTTCATCTCAATGGTAACCGTTGTAATTACTATTACAATTTACTCTGTACAAGGTAAACAACCTGTTTGTAATTTATGGTATGTAAATATTAAATTGTTTTTTTTCTAATTGAGACTTTTTAATATATCATGTATTGCAATTATGACTTTATGACATATTGACACATGTTTATCATAATTAATTTAAAGTTTTTTCCACGTATCTGCATCACATCATCAAGAAATATATCAATAATAGATACATTTTAATTCTAATTATTTATTTATGACTACGCAATCGTAACATAATGTCGTTTAAATCAATTTGTAATATTAATTGATCTAGATAAGTCGACTGATTTATATTAATTGAAATAATTTTAAACGTTGAACGTTGTGTTGTAATAAACGTATCCGGTTGCATTAATGAGTATTTTCATAAATTATATTGTTAGTAAATCTTATTATAAGTTACAAATCATGTCGGATTTGCTTCGTACTTTGGTAATAGATGAAAAATTTAAAACCGTTTGTCAGATATAAGTTCAATGTGATAAATATAATTTTTATAATATATAGGTAAATACAATCAAATATCAAGCATGCAATTTCAAACTAGTGGGGTGCATGACATCGTGCCTTAAGGCAAATTGCTGGAACTTTCCGTACCGTAATTAAAAATGTTGATACGGCACCCAAAAAAATTTACACAAAATGTGTACACATTATTAAAATTTCTATAAAATATCTGTTAATTTGATGTACATATGTCCAATAAACATTTTTGACCGCCAAATGACATTTTTTTAACTTATTGAGTCTTATTGAATCCATAACCGCTGAATTTGTCTTCCCAAAAATTTATTCAGTTCTTCATTTTGTTAATACTAGTAAAATGTAAAACTGAGTTACCGTTTTTGGCACTTTTTGACCCCTATCTTCGGAACGGCTATACCTGCCTTCGCCAAAAGCTAACTAGCACGTCTCCTTATCAATACGAATCGAATTATTCAAATCGGTTGATCAGTGTTCCCGAAATAGACGAAAATTTGTATCCGCGGACATGCACACACATACACATACACACACACATACATCCATGTTTTCTAAGGTATGGCAAAATATTCAGAAACCTTTGAAACGTGAGATATATACAAATTTTAATTTTCGATTGTTTTGCAATTACTATAACATACTCTACGGGAAGTTAAAAAGAAGTCAATATATGCGCTAAGAGTTGAACAAAAATGATTAACCGTGTTATTTTTTTTTTAACAGCAATCATATATTATATGAGGCAACTCATCGGTTAACACTTCTTCGACGATTGCATCAGATTATATTTAATAAATGCCCTCGAAGGGCATCACTCGATTTTTACTAGAGATTATATTTGGGATTTAAAACCTTAAGTGGAAATTGGATATCATGCTGCTTTAAATCAAGCTAACCGTGGTTGGGATCGCTACCGGGACTAGATTGTGCTAATTCCCTTAATCTCTTACGCCACGGCGGGCTCAGTAGCAGTGTTAAACAATAAATTTGATTTTTTTAAATGTTTTTTTTTTAATGTATAACCTTATGTAATTCTATTTAATAATAATAATAACTTTAATAATTTATTATAATATATTTATCGCCTTACCAAATTAATCTTACTGTTCCAATCTGTCTTTATCCGCGCCATGTTTGTCATAGTAATAAAATTTATTACATGACAATGGAAGTATGATTACATTGTTATATATGTTTCATATGTGTAATTGCATTTGATAATATTTTTTCCCAAACTGCAAGTCTATTTCATATGCACAAGTTCTGATATAATTAATTAATCACACGATCCACTCATTTATGAGATCAGACTTATTTTAAAGTGTCCTCATGACTTTACCACAAATACTAGATTTCATGTCAGATTTATTAGAAATTTATGATCGATTTATTATTTGTGTTCTTCCACAGGAAATATATCTATGTTTGGTATTGTCAGGTTGTTACTTATGTAATAAGACAGGGAATGTCAAAGTTTGGTACTATGTATTGATATCAGAAAGTTAGACGTTATGATGAGCTTCGGATTATAGCCAAATTTAAAACAACTTGCCGTAGATAATTTTGAACTTAGAAGTTTTTACATAAGTCATATAAATCAATTATAGTAATATATTTTGGCAGATGAAATTCTGATATTATTTACTTTATTACTTATATTAACTTTGCAGCTAGTTACATAAACTTCCTGATATCTGAAAATAACCGGGAAGATCTTCAAATAATGATTTGTTTTGTTTTTTTTTTAAATTTTAGCAAGAAACAATACAATTCTAACAAATAACATCTTTCAATTAGGTTTTAATTTTTTTTTATTGGATTGGAATTTTTTGAGGATCAGATTAGGAAACCACTTTTACCAATAAAATTCGGCACCGATTATCTCTTCGACCAAATTTTGCTTGCTGCACAATTATGAGTTATAATTGACATAATAAAAAATTTTATATGAAATACAATGATTAGTGCAAACTAATAAAAAACTTTACTTAGCAATTTACTTGGAGGTATAATAGTATAATTCCTAAAAGTTTTAGTGCCTTTAAAAATTTTTGTCCAATTTCATCTATTTATCATAGTTGAAGTATGGATTCAATATATCAATAATATAATTATAGTATATTGAGGAAATAAATTAATAGTTTATTTACCCATCAACATTTTGTATTGGTGCTTGTATGCTAAATGAATGTAAGGATATTTCTCAAGCAGAAATCTCAAAGATTTAAATTTGATATGTAATAAATATATTGTTTATTGTATTTTTAAGGAGATAATTTTCAGTAAAAATGTTGTAACAAAATTGTGTAGTTATTAGGAAATTTTAGTACGTGCAAAATATTCATTTTTGTACAATATAATTGCACGTTTTCAGATAAAATTTCATAAAACATCCCAAAAGTCACGTTTTGAAATTCTCAATCCTATTTTTTTAAAAATATTTTACTCCATGCGTGACGGAATTAAAACAAAAATGTTTTATCCATATAAAACTTTAATCTCAATCTCATTTGTTCTCGTACACATAACAATTACATAATCAAATATTTTAAATACATTTGTCTTAGAATTATACTAAAATATATAATACATAATTGATGAACACATTCACAACGCTCATCCATGCCTTTTTCCTATATGTATAAAAAGTTACAATATAATTTTTATTAATAGTTATAATATAAAATATAAGTATCATTACAGTTATAACAATTTTTATATAATCTATACATATGCGACATTTAAAAGTCGCTTATATAAATGCTAACTAAAATTTTTGCATTCTCCTATTAATAAAGACGCTGTAAAATTCGAATAAATAATACATAAATCTTATAGTTACGTGATTGTGGTATTGACACAGAAAATAAGTTAAATTAAGTTTTATTTTTCATTTGTGGAATCTACGGTCGATCAATGTTTTTAATTTAAGACATATAATTTTATTTTTCTATCAAATTGGCACTTTATTATTGTCATTAATAATTATTTATCATCTGTATTAATTTCGATAAAAATCTAACGCAATAATATTAATATTTATTAACAAAAACGTGACCAACCGTAAAGACACGCAATTGTTGTCAGTAGAATCAAGCAGATATTTTGCAAATAAAATCTGTTTGATTCTAACAAGACGAAAAAAAAAAAACAATTAAAACATTCATTAACATATAATATCGTCATGTAATTTAAAACTATACACTGAGTTAAAATTATATCTAATCATCAAACGATTTACATGCATTGTAAAATTAATTATTGACTTGAAATGTCATTTTATTTGTTTCATTTAATTTGACCAGAAATACATTTAATTTGAATGGTGCGACGTGTATTTCACTGACCTTCGCTGTCACTATCGCTTTTATCTGAAATAAATAAAAGTAATAAACTTAATTATTATAAATCATCTGTGTTAAGAAGTATCTAGTTAACCCTTTCGCTACAGCAATATTTTTTGCAGGAATGACACTGCTTTACGGTACACCGGCCGCCCAGTAGCACTTAGCAGACACAACATATTTCGAGATTTTTTAATCATTATCGATAAAAATTGATTTGAAAATTGTAAATTACGCTTGTAAAGAACTAGAGATTACAATGACAAATAGGAATTCTGAATTACTTAACTCATTATCAGAGTGATAAGTCTTGAAATAAAGGATGTTGTCTAAAGGCGACACCCGTATATACAGGTCAGCATAAAGATACAAAAGTGTAATTGTCGTCCATAGACGACACGAGTGGTCATGCGGGTGCCGCCTATAGGCGACGCTTGTAGCGAAGGAGTTAAATTATATATTTGAACCATTATTTGATATGGAATATTACGATATTATATTGGCATAGATAAGGAATTGAACACAACTTAATATTGCCCATTGATAAAAAATAAATTTGAATATGAGAATAATAATTTATTATATTACTACAAAAATAAATTACTTTAATGTTTGATTTGGGTACTGTATTCTTTTTACGAGAAAACATGTAGAATTGTAGTTACACATTTTTTATTATTAATTTTGTATATGCAAAAGTTGTGTGGTTCCATTAACATATGCGGATTACTTATTTGTTTGGAATAATTTAATTTTTCAATAAATACAATAATAATACACCGACAAAGATTGTGATAAAAAAATATTATAATATATAATGTCACGTGAAATATACAGATTTAAAAAAGTTGGCTTAAAAATTTGAATCTTTGCAATATTGAGATGATTATAATTAAAATATTATTCTTTCAAATAACCACATCCATCAATTTAGTTTTAATTAGTCTTTGCGTTTGCGAGAAAAAATGCATTAAAAATTATTTACAAAAAATATATTATTTAAGTTGTTTTATATCACACATTTAAAACAATGTGTCTTTTTATTTTTATATATACATATGTAATGATAAATTGTTTTTAATTCAATTTCCGTAGAAGGGATGGTATGTTGTAGGTTTATTTATTAGTTTATAAGCGAATAAATTATGAATACTATACCAATATGATCCTGTATGAATAAAATATTAATACTTACATACTATTATTAGTGTGAGTGTAATATACACTTTCAAATTTTATACCAAACATAAATTTACTACTATACGGAGTTAAAAACCTCCGGAAGATCGTCGATTTATATATAAAGGTGCTTTTTAAGATGAGGTGTTTTTTTATAAATCATCATGGAAGTATTTTCTCATTGAATTAATTTTTAAACATTGAATTATTGTAATATAGTATTTTATCAATTTGAAACAAAATTAATATCAAAATTGAATTTACAGAAAGTGCATACGAAATGTAAATGTTGTATTAGTATATATTTATAAATCCTTCTCCAAAATTAAACCAACGGTCTTACGATCGCACAAGTCCAATCAAATGTGATAAGATGCTAGTAATAATAATTTATATTTAATTATAATTTTTGAAAATTAACAGTAGCTAAATTATTTCATTGTTTTCATAGATAAGATTAATGTGCTATATCACTGCTTCGTCAATCATACGTCAAATACAATGTCTTATATATATTATAAACACTTGAAACTTAGAAGATATTTATTAATTATTTTTGAGTATACAGTGGAAAATTTGGTCGAATTCGTTTGAATGAATAGAATACATCTGATACAGAAAAGAAAAACAGTTTTTCTTCTTTAACTTCTGTTTTGATCACTTCAGGTTTCTGATTACGCTTCTGGTTTCATAAGAAGTGGTTAGTATCATCAGCATAGTTTCAAAATATTCATTGTATATTTTATTGCATCAAGGATATAAAAAATAACAAACAGAAGAATTTAGTTTCAATTTTAGATTATATTATAATTCCTTTTGAAAACACTAGCAATTTGTTAGATTTTTCAGCCGCACCAAAAATTTTGTAGTCAACCGTAAGACCGCGGATAAGAAAGCTTTTCACCCGTTTTATAGTTAAAATTAAAAGCAAAATACACCCATCAAAAGTACCTACGATCGTCCGGGGCAGTGCTTTAATTGTACGAAGTTGGAGTGTCTAAGTCACCTTTTTTTCCTGTATAAGCGTGTCTCTTCAGTCTGTCGTATAAATCATCCTTTGTCCCATATATGCTAGCATTCGATCTGAAAGGTAAAATTAATTATGGAACAATTGGATTTTGATGATAAAATATTGTTTAATCATCGTGAATCATTCAATTTGTTCAAATTTCCAATAACGATGATAACACTTTGTTTTATGCTTACATCATCAAAAATTCGAAAACATTTTAATAATTTTTTTTTGTTCATTTTTGAAAAGCACATAATAGGTATTTTTTTTAAAGTAATCGGAACTACGTGTTCTTTGAGTAAAATTGTTTCACTAACTTCTATATACCTAACAATAAAGAAAATTATTAAAATTATGGCTAAAATACATGAAATTAGTAAATTTCTAATTTCCAAGCTAGAAAAAACGCATAGACAATATCATCTTTATAATTACCTTCAAATTGAAATAAAATAGAATGGCATAAATTGGTGGTCAAATAGAAATATATAATTTTGAATAGATTTTAGTAGTAAATAATATAAGTATATACTAGTAATAAATAAGTCTTTGTAATTATCAAGGAATAAATTTTTATATTTTTTTAATTTATTCAAAAATTGTTCGCTTGTTACGTATTCAAATATATAAACGCGTAAACGCTACACCATTTTTTATCTGCTGCAGTGTAACGCTATAATAAAAGTTTACTAATATTTTTTTTTGATTTTTCTAAGCAACAATTTGTTATCACTTCTAACAATTCAACCCATTTTGCTACAAGAGTGTTTCTTTAGGAATGACTCTGCTGTACGAGTCAGTAAACCGCCCAAGTATTTGCTACCCAAAATATTTTCTAATTCTCCAATCACTATCGACAGAAATCTATTTAAACTTAAAAAATTACTCTTCTCAAAAACTAAAAATTACAATAACAAATTAAAATTCTCAATATTTTAAATCAGAGTGATAAATATTCAAGCAAAATTTGTCACCCTGCATGTCGTCTATAAGCGATATTCTCACAGGTAGTCATTTGAATGTCGTCTATGGACGACGCTTGTAGTAAAAGGGTTGAATATTAAATTTAAAAAAATATACTAAAAATATATAAATTAAGAAAAAATAATGTCATAGTCATAATGACCGACATGAAAATTAGGGTGAATGAGAGGAGCGTGTGAATTAACAAATATGATACTTTACATTAATCATTTGTAGCGATAAAACCAGATAAAACTCATAAATTATAATAGAGCAAACTTGATTATTATAATAAATAGAACATACTCGTAAACTTAATTTTATTTTGCAACGTAATCCTGCTGAGTTATTTGAACTAACAATGAGTTCAAATTATATGAAGTGGCACTAAAATAATTTAATAATTATTTCAATTGCACAATTATATCATTTAAATATTTGCGCAGAGTCACCATTGATAAGAATCGTTCCATGCAAAATGTTTGAATGTAACGATTACAAAATGTGCAATCAAAGTGCTTGTTCACAGCGATCGTAAAGTCAATTTTGATAAGAAAAGATTTAGAATCTCTTTAACCTCCAAAACACATTATTCTAATTATAGATAATAATCGAGTATTTGCAGGTAAAAATGAATAAAGAGCAATAAAACAATTATAAAATACTAATAATAAACGATCAGAGACGGCTTGCAATATAGGCGAAGAGCTGGTGCAAGACTATACAATAATAATTTGAATTTAAAATACAGTTTTTGATAGAAACTTTTAAAATTAAAATTTGATGTATTCGAAAACAAAAAAAATATTGAGTAAAATATAAATTAGCCCACGATTACAAATAAGTATTCCCTAAAATAATTTGATGTATTCAAAAACATAAAAAATATTGAGTAAAATATAATTTAGCCCACGATTACAAGTAAGTATTCCCTAAAATAATTTAAAATCATATGGTAAAGCGTTTTTCTTTTCAAAATTATACAAATCAAATCCAAATAAGTAGGATTTTCATATTCTATGCAACTCTCAAAATGTAATTCTACAATTTCTCAAATGTTTAATCGACAGAATTGAATGCATTGCGCTAGTTTTAGTCTGCAATTATTTATCTAACTAATTCTTCTCTCAAAAAAAAAATAGTATCTTACAAAATTTGTACAAAAATATTTTTGTTTTACGCAACGATGATAAATAACTCCAATTTTTGGTATTTTTTCAAAGTGTTTCGATGTCAATTTCATGTGCATTAATGAGTTGATTGGTGAAAGAGAAATTATTGTTTAGTATATTGATTAATATTTAATTAAGCTATGCAATTATAATGCATGTTTAATAGCAATAGCATATTATTAATAGCTATCGGCTTACGCCATGTATTATTTTATTTGCTGATCCCACCTTAGCTTTTTGTAGCAAATCAGAATAAATCCTCATTCAAAATGTTATCGAATTGTATATTAATATTTTAGTTACCTGGCCAGACTGTTCATCTTTCCGTTCATTCCATTATGAAGACCGTCTTTCATATAAGTTTCGTTATAGAAGTTCGGCATTTCCCAACCATCTTCTTCGTCATCGTAGTAATGGGCATAAGTCGAATGGTGAGATGGGGCGATCGATTCGGCGTAGGGCGTGTGGGCTCCATAGTAGAAGTTGACTTGGGATCCGTTCTGATCGGTGGCAGGGCTTAACATCTTCTTTGGTTCCTTCTTGCGAGAAGATCTGAAGAGGTAAAAAAAACATAGATAAGTTGCTGAATTAATAGTTAAACAAATTGGTTTCTTCTTGCGAGAAGACATGAAGAAGTAAAAAGAAAAAAGACTTGGGTATGCACCAGCTGAAGAACATGTAAATTAGTATACCTTGCGCAAATCATCCAAACGAGCAGGACGATCAAGATGACGAATATAACGGCACCAGCAACTCCTCCAGCAATGTAAGCAAACTCAGATTTCTCCGTGCAGTGGCGTCCAGTGAAACTTCCAATGCATCGGCAGGCGGGTGCACCTCGAGCGTCCTTGATACATTGACCCTCGTTCTCACAGAATCCTTCGCAGACATCTAGAAAATAGATAATGAAACTAATATTAATATCATCCTGTTATTAGAATATTTAGTACAAAAATATTTTAACTTTCTCCATAATACCTATAGTTTCGTTTCTACCGATGTACATTAAACAGTAATATTTAACCACGTGTCTAATTCAAATAGGCTGGCAAACTAAAAAATATTATTCGCATTATATTTGTTTAATGTATGTGGGCAGTATATAAAACATATGATATCATTTCACCTCATGAGATATATGCTAATTGAATATAAAATGCCTTATTATTATTTTATAAAAACATCAGTGTTCCAATACATCATTAAACCGACGCATTGCTATCATTTGCATGTTTTAAATAAGTTACATATAAACATGTGTGTCATGTGATTCGAGATTTTACAAATTTGTTTTTAACATAGTGTATCAATATAAATAATATAAATAAATCTATAAGATATTGACGTTGCTAGTATGAATGCATAATTTGATTCATATTTCAAGTTTTCATTATATTTGTGAAATAAATATTATCAATGATGTCTGACGTATTCTAATTAATATGCATATTGAAACAATAGCAATATATATTTTCTTTGCAATGCAAATAAGTTCAATAAAATTCCACATGATTTAATTAACTTACTTATAGCGGAAGATTAATTAAAGCAAATATCTTATAAATATTATTTTGACAAAAAAATAGAATATTAAGATAATAGAAAAGAATACCAGTATGTTGCAAATAAGTATGATCAAGTGGAACGTAGAGATATAAAAAATCTCGTTTATTATTACGCGAAAGTAAGAATTTATCATAAATTCTCGTCGTATTAAACTACACTAACTAAAATTTTGTGAAAATCGAAGAATCTCATAGTAAGAAAAGTCAAGGAAAAATACTATAGAAGAAAATAAAGCACATATATTTCCAATTTGAAAAACCATCTTAAATATTTTTTTTATTTACCTGTGCAAACTTTGCCAGTTCCGTTGTATCCAGGCTTGCATTCACATTTGAATTCACTTGTTTCCGGAATAAGTAGACAATAGGCGTTGGTGTCGCAATGCATGTCCGGACCGCTCATGTCGCAAGGATTCGTACATTCAGCACGGCTTGTCTGAAAATAATACAATGTAATGCAAAAAAATCATAGTATTTTGGTTCAAAATATGATTATAATAAAGTTTAACTAACAGCTGCTGGTCCTTTGGTGCTGGTATTAGGTGGGCAAGGTAAACAAGATGTTTGCTGTGCTTCAGATTGATAGGTGCCTTTGCGACATTCTATACAGCTGTTCAATGTTCCGTTCAAATATGATCCTGAAAATAAGAAAAAAATCTATGATTAGAAGCTTATTAATGCTTAAAAATTATTTTGTGTCCAATATATAATTTTTTGCGTAAATAAAATTCAATGATTTTATTTTGTAGCCAATGAAATGATTTATTGGCAAATTTAATGCTTTCAAAATCAATTATTACCAGGTGTGCAAACGGGTAGTGAGCATTCTTCAACGGCTGATGCCCCAACCTTCAGTGTCGTTCTTCCTCGTGGACAGCTCTGACATGCTGGTTGAACGCCCTGGGTCCTGAATGTTCCGCGTGGACAAGGTTCACAACGTCCTTCAATTCCCAATTGTAGTCCTAAAATAAAAATAAAGATTTAAACATTGTATGTAATAATATTTGAAATATTTTTTCCGTTGTTATACATTAAATTCGAGTTAATTACCTGATGCGCATTCATCTCTACATTCGTCTCTCGATGTAGCATCTGATGTCCTTGTAGTTTTTCCAAGTCCGCAAATCTTGCAAGCGAAAGTTCCTTCTTCAGGTTGGTAGAAACCGTGGCCGCAATTTCTGCACTGACCTGCTTCTTGGTCAAAGAATTTTCCAGGGTCACAACGCTCTGTTGAAAAATAATATTTTAGTAAAAATCTTTTACTCAAAAAAAATCCAACCAGTTTTCTCAAAACCCTTCTTACCTTTACAATCTTCTACAACTCTGGCGCCTGGTGAAACAGTTACTCCTGGTTTACCCGCAATGGACGGACATGCATAGCAATGCATCTGGCCAACCTCGCTTTGGTACATTCCGAGTGGGCAAGGAATACATGATCGAGTATTTTTATCGTAGAAAGTACCAACAGCGCACGGAACTATAAAGAATTTAAGATTTAAGATAAATTGATGTTCCAAAATTATAATTGTTTTATATACATATATTAATAAATAAATAAATGAGGTTGCTTACCGCAATCAGGAGCTACTACAACTCTGCCTTCAGGACAAGCATAATCCGATTCTAGTTCAAGAGATGCTGGATCAGGAACAGTATTTGGCAGAATTTCACGTACATCAAATTGATCTTCTTCCAAAATTAATTTTTCAAGAAGCCTTTGAACGTTGGAGCGTTCGTTCGTGTTGGAATGGATTACTGGATCGCTGGTTAGGTAAGAATTTAAATTAATATACTAATAAGAATGAATGCGGTAGACAATTGTTAAACAAGCAACATAAAGCCATTTTTGGGTTTGTCTTTTATGTTAGTGTTGTTAATTCATAACCTGGCTTTTTACCTGAAGACAAAATGTGTATTAAGTCAGTTTTATAAGTGAATGTTGTATTAGTCGCAATAAATATTTGAAACTGAACTAGACTAACATCATTTAAATTAGATTTATTATATTAGAATAATATACTTCCAATATTTAATTATTGCTTCGGGTTTTAAATATTTGTTATAAAAAATAATACTTGTTAGTTCAAACTCAAAGTTTAATAAATTTAAAAAAAAACTGATAGTATTTACAAAACTATCATAGTTCAAAGCATTAACGTAGTAATTTTCCATTACAAATAGTTCGTGAAAATAATTCTGTAGGAAATGAATTGTTAAATAAACTCATATATACATACAAGCATGCAATAAGATAAAAGATAAAGCACATTAATATAATACAAGCAAGTTGAATTATATATTAAATGAGTAGATCGTGAAACGAATTTCTTACTTGACGGCAGGGAATGAAATTTCCACGTTATAAGTGTCGCTGGTTTGTCGGCCTTCTCTTGGACTTGGAGTTTTTCTACACAACACAAAAGAGCAAGAATACACATGACACATGCTATTAAGGATACAGATTGAAGACTACTCGAAGAAATGCTGTCCGATAACCGACAATTTTCGAATTAACTCAAATATATTTTACAGTATAGTAGTAAATTAAAATTTTCTCATTTGGGTGTTTCTAAACATCCGAACGCATAAAAAAGTCTATTAGAAATTGTCATAAACATTCAAAACTGTGTATAGAAATCCTTACTCAATCACTATTTCACTATATAAATTTCTAATATTCAAAACTGTGAAATATTTTCTTAATTGGTATTATTTTGGTCATTGAAAGCGATTTGGAATTATCATCAACTGTAATCTACATAATTTACTAACAAACTTTCATTGATTTAGTTATATTTGTTCAATTTACTATAAATTAACTAATAAATAATTATTATGGTATTCATATAGTTAACTATATGATTTAGGAAAAATATATGAGTTTTCTCATCGCTATGTGAATCCAAAACAATGAGGTTGTTAATTTTTTGGTACATGAATTTTACCGGAGTACAAAACTAAGTAAATGAATTTTAACTAACTATAATGAACATTTTGAACTAAAAACTAATATGATTCTATTCATATTGTATTTGTATGAAAATTGCGAATACTTTTGCGAGTGTTATCGAACAACATTTGTAAATGAAATACATAAATAATGATAATATGATATAGAGAACACAAATATCTACACACTAAAATTAAATTACAAGTGTTGAACAATGAAATAAACTTTGCGAAATTATTATGATAAATTATAATCATAAAGAAAAACACATAAAATGCATAAGTGAAATGGAAATTGTGCTAAAGAAATAGTTTTTCAGAATCTACTGTGTTGTTTGTTTTTGTAGTGTTTGGGTTTTATACACAAATAATGCTACATTTATATATAAGGTAAATACAGATAACTGCAAATTATATTTGGATACTGATTTATATGACTCTTCATCCCAATTCTTCTATAAAATTTGGTAATAATACCATGCAAAACATTTTTTACTAGTATACTCAAAAATATTTTGAAAATATATGGTAATGATAATAATTAACTACGTAAATTAACTAATAAAATAATATGTTCTCAATGTTCTACTAAACTAATCATGTAATTGATTATCAAAATAATTGTATAGATTTTATCAACTTAAATATTTTAGATATTTTTAATTATTTAATAAATGTTTTCAGCGCATAACTTTTCCTAATTTCATACATTCATCTTTAATACATTTTATATATTTAAATTTTAAAAATGTACTCACTTTTCACTGGTACTAAGGCCTCGATTACGTAGGTGCCACCGTCCTGATCTTCTTCCCTATTTTGAGCTTGCCTTGTCTGTCTGTTGGCACGGTGATCGCATTTTACGTTGATGTTAAGGTCCTTACATTCTCGTGTGCCTAAATTTTTTCATCAAAAACGTGTTAAATTTAGTCTAAATTTAAGAAAACAAAAATTTTAATTTAATACCTTCTACAGCATAAGAGCAGAAGTTCCAATCTCTATTCAAATGAGTTGATGCATTACGAACTTTCTGTCTAAGAACTCCTTGACCGGCTTCATTGCAAAGAACTGAACTTGGGAAAAGCATAGATATCCTAAATACTCTTTGAGCTGGTTTCGATTCTGAACATGCTGGTAGATCATTGGTAGTGCTGGATTATTGGTTGGTCTCCAGAATCCTTCACCTCCACAGGTATAGAAAGCTGGAACTTCTTGAGAGAATTTCAAACCTGGGTTGCAACTGATCTCGCACACTTGAATTGGCCGCCTGCGCCCCAGTCCTTACATGATTGCGTTCCACCAATTGGATCGGCAAGTTCGGGACAGAATTCAGCTAAAATATAAAATAAAATAAATATTTCTATTTGTTATCAACTATATTTTATATGAGTTTTTTTTTTCATATAAATAGATGCTTACACA